TGGGGGCGGGGGGGGCGGGGCGGCGCCGGCGCAGCCGCAGGACGGTGGCCGCCCCGTCGCACTGTCGGGCCCGAACGGCGGGGGGGGGGGTAAGCGGGCTGGGGAGCCCGGGGGGCATGGAGGAGGCGGGGACGGGACGAGAAGCGGGGAAGGGGCGGAGGAGGAGGGGAAGGGGGCGCGGGGGGGGGGGGCGGGGGCGGGGAGGGGGAGAGGCGGGGCAGGGAGGAGACGGGGAGGGAGGCGTGGAGGGAGGAGGGGGGGCGGGAGGCCAAGGGGGGGGCAGGGAGGAGACGGGGAGGGAGGAGCAGGGGCGGCCCTGTTGGAAAACCGTTTTCCCCGAAGCGGAGCGGAGCTTGCGGAGCGTGCGGAGGCAAACTTTGGGAGTTTGCGGAACCACGCTCCGTCCGCATCTTCCTCGCGCCATTGTTGCGCGCAGTGGTGGCCTTCAGTCTCGCATGAGACTGAAAAACCATGGCTGACACTTGTCCGACTGACGTCATTGTGTCCCTCCAACCGAGGTAAGCGCTCGCAACTCGCCGTTGTGACCACTCGCTGCCGTGCGACCGGCGAATGACAGAAAGCGAAACCTTCCCCTCTATTCCGGCCCGTCAGACCATACCCGTCAGACCATACGCTCTAGATCCGACGCAGCACTCCACGTGCTCCAACCACGGGGCGGAGGCGGGGGGGACCGTCCCATCCTGGCGGTTTCCTGCATTGCTTAATCCCATAAGCCCTTCGGGCCATAATGTGTTTGAGGGAGTTTCCTCTTCCACCCTTTTTCTTCCCCTTCGGGGAGTGGTTTACCACCCCCGCTACCCCCTCCCCTGGACCTGGACGGGGCCGGTCGCAGGTAGTTAGCGCGCCCAAACCGGCCTCGGCAAGGAAGCCAAAATCCAGTGCGAGCCACGGCCGGGCCGCTCTTCCGAGGAATTTCTGGAATTTCTGGAATTTCTGGATTTTCCGGGCATTTCTGGAATTTCTGGAATCTCTGGAATTTCTCGATTTTCTGGGTTTTCTGGGATTTCTGGAATTTTTGGAATTTCTGGAATTTCTGAAATTTCTGGATTTTCTGGAAACTCTAGAATATTGGGAAATTCTGGAATTTCTGAAATTTCTGGATTATGCCGGCAGAGCAACCTGACAGCGATGTGTAGGAGTATATCTGGAAGCATTCCCCTTAAGATTCACATGAGAATCCAGTTTGTCAATTTCTGCTGTTTCTCGTCAGTCGCAGTCGCATTCGCGAATGAAAGTCCGCAGTGGCAACGGCAAGTCACAGTCACAGCCTCACCTCAGCCTGCCTCAGCCTCACCTCAGCCTGCCTCAGCCTCAGCCTCAGCCTGCTTCAGCCTCAGCCTCAGTCTGCCTTCAGCCTCGGCCTCAGCCTCCGCCTGCCTCAGCCTCAGCCTGCATGAGCCTCAGCCTCAGCCTCAGCCTGCCTCAGCCTCAGCCTGCCTCACCTCACCTCAGCCTGCCTCAACCTCAGCTCAGCCTGCTTCACCTCGTGCCTCAGTCCTGCCTTCAGCCTCGGCCTCAGCCTCATCACGGCCTCGCCCATCTGCATCAGCCTCAGCCCTCATACTCCTCCTGCCTCACATCACCTGCCTGCGTCCGCCTCAGCCTCACCTGCCTCAGCCTCAGCCTCAGCCTGCTTCGCCTCAGCTTCATCTGCCTTCACCTCGGCCTCAGCCTCACCTGCCTCAGCCTCACCCTGCCTCAGCCTCAGCCTAGCCTCAGCCTGCCTCGCCTCAGCCCTGCCTCAGCTCAGCCCTCAGTCTGCCTCAGCCTCAGCCTCAGCCTGCGTCGCCTCAGCCTCAGTCTGCCTTCAGCCTCGGCCTCGCCTCAGCCTGCCTCAGCTCAGCCTGCATCAGCTAGCCTCGCTAGCCTCAGCCTAGCCTGCCTCGCATCAGCCTGCCTCAGCCTCAGCCTCAGCCTGCTTCAGCCTCAGCATCAGTCTGCCTTCAGCCTCGGCCTCAGCCTCAGCCTGCCTCAGCATCAGCCTGCCTAAGCCTCAGCCTCAGCCTCAGCCTGCCTCAGCCTCAGCCTGCCTCAGCCTCAGCATCAGCCTGCCTCAGCCTCAGCCTCAGTCTGCCTTCAGCCTCAGCCTCAGTCTGCCTTCACCTCGGCCTCAGCCTCAGCCTCAGCCTCAGCCTCAGCCTGCTTCAGCCTCAGCCTCAGCCTGCCTCGCATTCAAAATGTGGGCCCAGGAATGGAGTTCTGGAAAAAAATTCTGGGAACTCGAAAGAACACGAAGTGGCCTGCAGTTGGCTCCGGACATTCAAAATGTGGCCCGGGAATGGAGTTCTGGGAACTCGAAGAACACGAAGTGGCTTACAGTTGGCTCCGGACATTCAAAATCATGCCCAGGAATGGAGTTCTGGGAACTCGAAGACCACGAAGTGGCCTACAGTTGGCTCCGGGCATTCAAAATCATGCCCAGGAATGGAGTTCTGGGAACTCGAAGACCACGAAGTGGCCTACAGTTGGCTCCGGGCATTCAAAATGTGTGGCCTCGAAAGCACGATGGAGTTACGGGAAGTCGAACGAGCAGTGGCTTGGCCTTGGAGTGCCTCCGGGCATCAAAATGTGGCCCGGGAATGGAGTTCTGGGAAGTCGAAGAACACGAAGTGGCCTACAGTTGGCTCCGGGCATTCAAAAATGTGGCACGGGAAATGGAGTTCTGGGAGGTCGAAGAGCACGAAGTGTGTGACTGTTTGCTTAAAACGAGTCCGGTTCTCGCGTGTCCGGGCTCCCGCCCAGACCCCCTCTGGGGAGTCATCAGATGCTCTCTTTTGACCGCATTAGAAACCTATCAATCTTCGCTGTTAAAATTTCCTAACAAATTCTGAATTTTTTTTTTTTTTCTGGAATTTCTGGATTTCCCAAAATTTCTGGATTTTCTTGAATTTGGGTCTCCTGTGAAATTTCGGAAATTGACGAATTTCCAAAGAATGTATGGAACGTCTGGCATTTCTGGAATTTCCGGATGTTGAAATTTTCCTTCGATTGAAATTCTGGAATTTCTGGCATTTCCAGAAAATCCCAAGAATTCCGAAAACCAAAACTCTAGAAATTCCCCAAAACCAGAAATTCCACAAAAACCGGAAATTCAAATAATTCCAGAAATTCCGGACATTCCAGAAATTCCAGAAATTCCAGAAATCCAACAAATATTCAGAAAATTCTTGGGATAGAGAAAATGCGTGGTGAGTGGCGCATTGTGAGTAGTGCGTTGTGAGTATATCTGGGTAGTTCGTTGTGAATATATCCAGAAAATCCCGACATTCCAGAAATCGAAAAACCCTGGGAGTTTCACAAATCCAATAGGTCCTCAAAAAAGCAGGGCCGCGAGTAGAGAGTAGGGGATACGGAGTGAGTCGTTGGCCGCGAGTAGAGAGTAGGGGATATAGAGCGGGGAGTAGGGAGTAGTGAGTCGTGACTCGCCGGTCGTGAGTAGTGAGTGTGTAGTTCTCATAGGGAGTAGCGAGTAGCGAGTAGGGAGTAGCGAGCAGCGAGTTGCGAGTAGCGAATTGCGAGTAGGGAGAAGGGAGTAGCGAATTGCGAGCATCGAGTTGCGAGCAGGAAGAAAGGAGTAGGGAGAAAGGAGTAGCGAGTAGCGAGTCGCGAGTAGCGAGTTGCGAGCACCGAGTAATGCCTGGCTCCAGGAATTCCTCTGAATAGCGGCGCCGGCCCCGGCCTTGTCACCAGGGCGTAGTGAGTGCTGGGTAGTGAATACTGAATAGTGAGTCGTGAGTGGTGCGTATTGGGTGGTGCGTAGAGGGCGGCGGGGTAGGAATCGGGTTCCGGAGCCAGGGGGCCCCCTTTTCAAAGGGAGGGGGAGGGTCTAAGATGCCCCCCAAGACGGGCCCAAGAGGATTCCAAGACTGCCCCAGACGCTTCCCAAACGCCCAAGACGGCCCCCAGACGGCCAGAAGTCGGCTCGGAGGAGGGGGGGGGGAAGGAGGAGGAGGAGGAAGAGGAGGAGGAAGAGGAGGAGGAGGAGGAGGAAGAGGAGGGCGACGAGGGCGAGGATGAAGAGTCGGGGGACGGGGAAGAGGAGGAGGAGGAGGAGGAGAAGGCGAAGGAGGAGGAGGACAAGGAGGAAAAGGAGGAGGATGGTCCTCGTCGTCGTCGTCGCCGTCAGTCGTCATCGCCGTCGCCGTCGCCGCCGCCGCCACTCCCTCTCTCGCGCGCGCCGCTCCCGAGGGAAGTGCGCGAGGAGAGGACGACGACGACGACGACGACGACGACCGGCGACGACGACGACGACCGACGACGACGACGACGACGACGACCACGACGACGACGACGCAGAAGAGGGCGAGGATGAGGAAGATGAGGATGAGGAGGATGAAGATGAGGAGGACGAGGCACCTGGCCTCCCAGGACTGGTTGCGTTGCCGCTGGCATCAGAGCCCGATGCCGTGAGTCGGCGAACCTAAATAAAAACCTGCTTCAGCTTCCGCAACGACTTGCGCCAGCCGGAGCGCGCGCACCGAGACGGGGCCACGCGCGCGCGCGGCGGGCGAACGAGGGCTGCAGGAAGCGTCGCTGCGACCAAACCGACAGCAGCGCAACGTGCCCCCTAAGCCCTGGCCCCGCCTGGACTGTTGCATTGCCATCGGCCTCGAGCCCGATCCCGCGCGCGAGCGAACTTGCGCGCGCGGTTCGTGCCCGAAGCGGTGAGAATGCTTAGCCGTCTATGCGCCTGCGCAGGCGCCGTAAGGGCTCAGGGTCAACGGTGCTGCCCTGCCCCGCTGGCTGCAGCCCGCGCTCGAGGCGGCCGGGCACCGCCTGCTGCCCGTCGTTCTCGGGGGCCTTCGGGCACTCCTGCGCGAGGCCCGCCGACCCACGACTCCGCGTCCAGCGACCGCACTTGACGCGGAAAAGGTGGGCGCCTGCTCGCCGCAGCTCGCGGGTGTCGCGCGCGTCGAGCCCCCGCCGCGGAGGCAACTCGGGCGCCGGCAGCGGCGCCGGCTGCGCCGCGGGTTGCGCGC